TGAGACGGAAGGAGAAAAAGACGACGGCGGAGATGAGAAGAAGAAGAAGACCAAGACGGCGCCTGACAACGAGGAGCAGAGGAGCAACAGCTCCGTGGCCGCAGAGCCTTCGGCGCCCACACCTGCGTCCACGGCCAAGGAGAAAGGAGAAGGGAAGCCGACGGTCAAAGGCAGCGCGGCTCCTACAAGTGCTGCTGAGGAGCATTCGGTCGCGGCCGAGAGCAACGCCACCGAAGTGACTACGGTCTCCACCCAGGAGCCCCGTAACGACAGCGCCGAGATGCAGATTCCTCAGAGCTCCACGCAGCCTCCGAAAATGAGCGTAGACGGGAAGAACGACTGGCCGTTCTCCGTCCACACAGGTGAGCACATCTGCTTCTTTAAATTTGACAATTTTCCAGAATTTTGCCAGTTACCCCCCCGCTCCCCCTCCTCCTCCTCCTCCTCCCCCCAAAGTTATAAACAGCGACGTCAGTTGAATGTTTAGCATTTCAAACACAGCCTTGACGCAGCGTTTAACACTGTTACCGTCTGAGTCAAAGACAAAGCTTCAGGCCTGTATGTCAGCACTGAACCCTGGGGGCATAAAGTGAGCGTTGGCCTGAGGGGTTCTGCCCCGAGGAGATCCTGTTAGCATATTATCAAAAAGGTTCTCTCCAAAGGAACATCTTTTTTTCACTGTGACCAAAATGCCTGAACTTCACCAAGAAACTGGTGAAAAGTATTTTTTTTTTTAAGCAAAGGAAATATTTTTTTCGTTCTTTCTCAAATCGAAACAGACAAAATCTCAACTGGTGGTGTGTTGTTGGAATTACAGTTCAGAATTATCTGTTTCTACACACTGTTATTAACAGAAAGGGATTGTCAACAGTTGTTTGAACGGTTATAAATCAAATTTTAAAAAAAAATCCATAATCTGTCATTTAAACCTAGAACTTTCCCATCTGTAATCTCAACGATGATGTGCTGCCCCCTGTGGAATAATACAAGTTACTGCTACTAAAAGTGTGCTGATTTAACAGTGAATTTGGGAATTGTCTAATCAAATCTTACCCAGAGATTCACTGTGTAAAAAGGTAAAAATATTCTTCAAAATGTTTCACCGTTAGACACTTTATTGGTGGAGCATCAATTGAGCCTTAACAACCAATGAAAACCAGGCAAAAGACACATGTTACCAAAGTCTGGCAGAAGAAGGGAGAGGCATTAAACCCAAAGAACACTGTCCTTCATGAAATATGGAAGAAAAATGGAATATAAATGACTGTTGGAATCAGAAGACATTGACCTTTGACCTTGGCTTGGAGGCTTTTGGGAAACACGCCACTAAAACATTGGTTTCCAGCTTTAGCGTGCCCCTCCCTGCACCCTCCCCTCCCCCCAGGACAGACTGGAACACCATAATTTACGGTACTCATTTACGGAGTGTTCATCAAAGCAACGTGTCATTACAAGTGTCATTTAAATCCAATTCTAAAACCACACACTGGTGTTCGGCGACTTCACTTGTGCTCACGCTGCTCCCTGCAGGTCTGATGGCTGCATTACATTAATATTCCCGCGGTGATTCCTGACTCCTGCAGTGTTTTAGTCCCAAATTTAATGTACCTGCAATACTGCTGCCAACCGAGTTTAAAGAAGAAAAAAAAATCCCACGTTGAAAGTGTTTTAGTCCCAAATTTAATGTACCTCCACTACTTCTGCCAACCGACTTTAAACAAAAAAAAAATCCCACGTTGTACCACATACCATAGTTTGAGAACCACTGCTTCATTATTACTCATTTTTTCTCCAAGCTGAACATGTATAAACTGCAGAGTTAGTGAATGATATCTTCGTTCTTCCTGTATCTACACGGACGTCACCGCGTCTCCAAACACCGGGACAGAATGTCCAAGTGCAGATCCATTATTCATGCGCTCAGAGGTTGACAAATGTCCTGACTCTGCATAAAATTATGTTTCTGATTTGTGCATACGTTACGTTCCAGACCCGACCACTTTGTCCGACGTCACCCGGACCCCTCCCCCCGTGGTGGGCAGGATGGTGTGGATAGTGCCCCTGGTGGTGGTGTCTGCTCTGACCCTGCTCTGCCTCATACTGCTGCTGATTGTGATGGTGTACTGGAGGTAAGGCCCTGGTCTTCTTATACCACGGGTGAATTTGATCAGCCAATCACCTGCACTGACTCCACCCACACTTTTGTGGCTGAACTCCGTCTGTGTGCAGACATGTGCTGTTTATTTGTTTCCGTTTCAAGGATGTTTGCTCATTTCCGTCAATCTCAGATCCACCAACATAATCACTTCCCTCTTCGCACGTTGACATCAGACCCATCACTCAAACTGGTGAATGACTGGGGACCAGGGGGCGCTGCAGTGCCAGCAGGGGTCCCAGCTGGGGTTTTTATCCTCTGGGCTAATTTCCAGCCACGCTATTGGAGGCTCAGTAATTACACGAGCTGAGGCGCTGACATATGTGGTCTAATGATTTACAAATAGCACCGTGGACCATTTCCTCCGCTGGTTGCAGGCGTATTTATTGTCTGTAGAGGCTTCCTGCTAGATGTTTTTTTTTTTTTTTTTTTTTGTGACTCGAGGTTAACATTAACACTTTGTTAATGCGTTAACATCATTTCCACATTTAAAAAAAAAAAACAAAACAAACCAAAGATGACGTCAGCGTTCAGTTCTCCTCCTTCTCGCTGTGGTTAACCTGCGTCTCTGTCTTCAGTGGATTTAATTGCTGCAGTAACTGAACATGTGGACGACTCTAAGGCCCGAGGTGTTTGTATGGAAAAAAAAATCACAGATGCACTTTGGAGTCCCTGGTCGTAGTCAGGGGAGCGTTGACGGTGCTAGCTTGTTACCTACACTTCATCTGCACCCACTGGGAGCCATTAGGGCTGGGAGTCCGTGATGCAAACCAGGGGGTTACTCTCCTCCCATGTTAGGTCCACCTCCCCCCTCTCTCTCTGTCTCCCATTCTCTCTCTCTCTCTCTCTGTTTGTCAAAAGCCGTCTCTCCTGTTTGTTACCGTTTCAACTCTTAAAGAATGATGAACATATGCTCCCTCCTCTGCGTCAGGCACAGGTAGGACTTCACTTCTAAAATGACTAAAGCTACTGGATGAAATGCACTCATTAATCTACATTACGGGCGTCAGGGAGGAGGAGGAGGAGGAGGAGGAGGCGGCGGCGTGTAAAGGTTGGAGAGGGTTTTGCAATGTCACAGGGAGGAGGAGGAGGCGGCGTTAAGTAAGAGTAACTGTGGTTTTCATGGGCTTGTTAAAATTCAGGGACTTTTGTGAATGCATCTCTTCTGTTGGAGTTTAAAAAAAGAAAATGTCATTAATGTGGAACGGCATCAGTGGCAGCTGTGATTTATTTAAAAAGATACCGTACCAGTCATGGAGGCATCGTCTGTCACCACATCATGGTTTACTTTATATGTTAATGTTTTATTCTCTTTAAGCTCCAGACAACATCAAACTGTGAGATTTGAATTTTTTTTTTTTTTATAATGTAAACAAGTTCTATGAACCTGGCTACGAACTTTATTTATTTTAAATGTATGAAGTGTAAACTCCAAAACTTTTATCTAATCCAAAAAGTTTGTGTCTGAACTTGAACTTTTTGAGCAGTAACTGTTATAATTAGTTAATAAATATGTATAAAAAGTAAAATTTCATTCAGGTTTGCGTCTAAAAAAAAAAAAAAAGTTCCAGAAAGTAATTAAAGCTTGTGTATGAGCCTGCAGAGATTATCTGTAGAAAATGAATTAGAAATTTTTTTTATTTTTTTTTCCATTTCAGATTAATTTTGTGCCGTATTTCTCTCTAGCTTATTTGCACTTCTGCTAAAATCACTTCACACTTACCCCAGAAGTTCCAAGCTTCACCTGCGCCCGTGATGAGCCGCGTCCCGGCTCCACCGCGGATTTCATTAGCAGTTTTCTTCCTTTCTTTCTTGTTTCTGTTCTGTTTCGCATTTTGATGCGGATCCTGACGGACTGGATCTGAGATACAATGAGATAACCACTTCCTAATGCACTTTACTTCACTCTGGCATTATCTGTGTCGATACTGCGTGCTTTCACTGAGCTGCACCCCCACTGTGCCCCCCCCCCCTCCCTTTGTCCCACTCCAGGAGATTCTTCCAGACGGCCCACTTCTACGTGGAGGAGAGTAACTCTCCGAGGGTGGTGGCCAATGAGAACATTCCAGTCATCCCCATACCAGGTGAGACGTCGGAAAAATTGAAACTTAAGACATTGTTCCAATAAATGATGTCACAGTTTTGAATCCCGACGACGGCCGGTGGTCAGAGCTCCGTGTTGATGATGTTAAAGTATTAAATGAACTTGTTCTTTACTGATGTTGTTGCCCAGACTTTGAATTATATTTTTTCCAATTAGTCAGATTTTCCACAAACACGGTCTGTGTCTCCAGTTTTCTCTGTGTCTCCTCTTCATTTCCATTCGTCTTGAACTCAGTCAGAGCTCAGTCCGTCTCCTCTTATCGGTCCGTTCTTCACACAGACTCACAGCTCAGACATTTTACATTTTACTGTGTGTTTCCGTAGGTAAATACCACAGCTATTTACTCTGCATTAATTCTGCCTTTTTTGTTTGACTTTTTCAACATTCTTTCTCACATTTGTCGTCACCTAGTCCTCTGTTTTGTTTTTTTTTTCTCTTCCCTCCCTGGAAGTTAATCATAATTTAATTGTATAACAGATACTGCATTTTAAATGACCTGCACGTGTTTGGTTTAATTTAAAACGTGTAAATTATGAAAATAATAGGAAAAGGGTTTCAAACTCAGTGTTGCATATTTTAAAAAGATATTTGTGAACCTGATGCTGGAACCCTGAGGTTTTCTGCCGTGCTGTGAGAGACTCGTCTCTCTGTGTGTGTGAGAACATTCAGTCTGCAGTTTTAGTTTGTGTCAGAAGTTTGTCTCAGACTGATGGCTCTCTCAGATACACGTTTATGCTCCAACCGCTCAGGCGAACAGGAGGCTCGACGAGCCCCAGGTGCAGGGGCGGAGTCATCGTACTGGGCAGAACCATCACCACTGACACCTGGGTCCACAGACCCCCCCCCCCTCCATCCTCTCTGTGATGATCACGAGTCATTTCAAAATCCTGTTCATGTTACTATAATATGTCGTAAAATTAGCTTTAATTCAATGGACTAAAAATGTCTTCTTTTTTTTTTTACGATTCTCTTTTTAAGACTGATCAGCTTCGAGACAAAAACGCCTCATTTGTCTCGTTCTCATCCTGATTTTTTTTTTTTTTTTTTTGACTCTTCTCCACAGATGACATGGAGGCCGTTCCAGTGAAGCAGTTTGTCAAACACGTGATGGAGCTGTACAAGAACAACCTGCAAGGTTTTGCCGAGGAGTTTGAGGTGAAACATTAGTCGTCGTCGACCTGGCAAACGCTGACGTTTGAGATTTTTATTTATTTTTTTATTTTTTTGCTTTATTAAGATGTACCAGCAAGTATTTAATTAAGTGCCGTGAAATGCGGTGTGAAACGCTGACGGACTTTCATGTCTGCCTCAGGACAAACTGTAATAACATGTGATGATCCCCTGACTTTAACAGAGAAAATTAAAGTCAGTTTATGACCAAACACGCTTACGGTTAAGGTTACGGTTAATTAGTGAATTGGTAACATTGTAATGAACCAGGTTACCATTCATCCTGTTGGTGGTGGTCATCACTGTGACCGTCGTCTTCAAGTGAGGTTACAAAAATAAATACAGACCCTGGTCCAGGTACGGAGCCCCGCTCCTCTCCTCCTCTTCACCTCTTCTTTCCTCCTCTTCACGTCTAAGTGCTGCATCTGAGCATAAATGAGAGATTATTTTCTGCAAACCTTCGTGTTCAGGGTTTCTAATTTTGAACAGATGGGGAGAGAAAGACGGAGAGAGAAATGAGGACAGACGGGGGTAATTAGAGCTGTCTGTCTGCTGGTTGGCTACATGTGAACAGACTATCTGTGCAGCCAGGTTAAGGAGCGAGGCAAAAGCTCTGCCCCCTCAGAGGATTCCATGTAATTGGGGTCATTTGATGTGAGGCCGGCGTGCGTCTTTTTTTTTTTTTAAACCCACTACAGTGGAAGGCGTCGGCCGTGAAGTAAACACCGGCTCAGTCGCCAAAGGCAATCAAAGCAAAATGTTCTATGTTTGTTTAATGGCATTTATTTTTCATGTGACTTGTAGGAGGTTCAGCGCTGCACTGCAGATCTGAAGATCACGGCAGAACATTCCAATCATCCTGACAACAAGCACAAAAATAGATACATCAACATCGTGGCCTGTAAGTCGACTGCGACGCCTGCCACGATGCCCGCCGCTGCACAATCCAATAAGGTTTTAATGACATACTTTCATGCTTTTGAACATTCTCACTGTCGTGCCGCTGATTTTCCCAGATGACCACAGCCGGGTTAAACTACGCGCACTGGCAGGGAAGGACGCCAAGCATTCAGATTACATCAACGCCAACTATGTGGACGTGAGTGTGGGCAGAGACTCTGCTGATAAATATATTATTTTATGTTTAAATATAAATATTTATGTAAGAAATTCAAGGGTTAAAGTACAAAATAGTGTTCCTCTACATTCTTCCTTTTCGTCTCCGTCTCTTCTGATGTCGTTTGTGACGATCCTGTCGTCAAGGGCGTCATAAACAAAATTAATGAAACCAAACTTTGATTCAGGAAAATCAAATTACTTTTTTAACTTTATTCGATTCATTCCTTTCAGCTGAATTTCCGTCTGTATCTAGTCCTTAAACAAATAGTATTTTTTGGAGCTTTTAAACAATTTTTTTTTGTATTCTGTTTGTTTTTGCCAAATTTAAAATGAGTTTTTTTTTTTTTTTTAAACAATCCCTGTCTTTTATTATCAATATCAGTTCAGATTTCAGCCAATGGTCCGAGCTCTGCCGTATGTTCAGGGACTTGATCTGATATCATTTGCTCCTCTCTGTGTTCCCCGCTGCAGGGCTACAACCGTCCCAGGGCGTACATCGCCGCCCAGGGTCCGCTCAAGTCCACGTTTGAGGATTTCTGGAGGATGGTTTGGGAGCAGAGCACTGGAATCATTGTTATGATCACAAACCTGGTGGAGAAAGGAAGAGTGGGTTCATTTTCCACCAACTAAACATGAAAGTGTCGGCGTTCCTCTTGATGTTCCCGCTCATTAGGGTTCCTCTCTCTCTCTCTCTCTCTCTCTCTCTCTCCACAGAGGAAGTGCGACCAGTACTGGCCGACGGAGAACAGCGAGCAGTACGGGAACGTGGTGGTGACGCCGAAGAGCACCGAGGTGCACGCCTGCTACACCGTGAGGCGCTTCCACATCAGGAACACTAAAGTTAAAAAGGTAACTGGATTCAAAGACCTTTTTATTTCCTGATTTTAATTGTCGTTCTCAGCCTGAAAAACAGCCCCAGGTTTAACACAAATAAAAAAAGTGAAGTCGACTGTTGTTGTTACAACTGTTGGTATTTTTACCAGAAATGTCAGCAAAATGTGGCAAAAAAAAATAACAACATAAACTGTATTATATTCTGTGCTTTTTTTCCCCCTCACACTGAGCTGGGAACAAAACTGCCAAATCTTTAGCTTTTTTATTGTTTTATTTTTATTTATGTTGCTGTTATTTACTTTTCAGTCCAACTTTTTTTACATATTTTTAGTCTTAGTTTGTCATTTGTTTCGTTCTGTTTTTATTGGCGACTGACACTTTACTGTTTATGTTTGATTTCTTTCTTATATTTTATTAAACAAGGTGATTTTTATTTACCTGTTTTTACATCTTTAATCGTGGACATTTTCTCAAGGTTGTGTATCATATCGTATCGCATTGTATTATTATAATTTACACGTCGTTATCAAACTATTTTAGTACGTCCTTTACTGTGATTAATATTAGTTTAAACACTGAAAACAAATGTTTGTGATTTTTTTTTTTTTACTTAAAATGAACCCTCGATTTTAAGGTCAAAAACTTTGAAATCAAGGGTTCTCAACATTTTTTACTCTGTGTACTACTTCTGAAAATATTTGTGCCTCCAAGTACCACTGTTGTTACATACAGTAAAGTACTGACCTGTACTAGTCAACACAGTATTACTGTTAAAGACAGTTCAGTCATAACTGGACAATAATTCAACAGATTTTTGGCCAAAAACACACACTTTTTTTATCCACCACCACTGTTTTACTGAGACGTTAAAATCACTGCAGGGAGCACGAGTACCACCAGTGGTTGGTGTACCACAGTTTGAGAACCTTCAAATAGATTTAAATGTTTTATAACTGGTGTGGATTTTTGTTGGTATTTTGGTGTTTTTATCCCTAAGAGACCGAACGCTCAGGTGTATTATTTATTGTATTTTTCTATACAGTAAATATGACTTTTGTTATTTTGTTAAATTAATTCTCGTGTGTTTGTGATCATGTGTTCAGACCCAGAAGGGGAATCCGAAGGGGAAGCTGAATGAACGGATCATCATCCAGTATCACTACACCCAGTGGCCTGACATGGGAGTCCCAGAGTACACCCTCCCCGTGCTCACCTTCATCGGCCGCTCGTCGGCAGCGGCCCACACCGCAGACATGGGCCCCGTCCTGGTGCACTGCAGGTACAGCCCACAGCTTCTAAATATATTAGGATAGTGACTTAGTGAGAGTGTCAGACTCTCCCACTGCTGACCTGCTTAACAGCTCCCTCTATGGGCCTTTTCATTATGCTCACGCTGTGTGTTTTTTCTTGCTCTCTGCTTTCCAGTGCAGGGGTGGGGCGCACAGGAACATACATTGTCATTGACAGCATGCTGCAACAGATCAAGGACAAAAGCACAGTCAGTGTCCTGGATTTTCTCAAACACATTCGCACACAACGGAACTACTGGGTGCAGACTGAGGTAAAAAAAAAAAAAAATCTCACAACTCATCAACCACCTCATTTAAAAATAAACAAAAAGGTTTTTGTGACTAAAAAAAAAACTTGTTTCAAAGCGGCTGTTTTGAGTTTCTCTGCTCTGAGACTCAGAGAAGAGCTGAAAGGTCACGGTTGAAAATGGAGGCGGGGTTAAAACGGCAGTTCACTTTAAAGCTCTTGGTTTGAGTAAAGGTCACAACTTACACACATTTATCACATTTACCCAACAACAATACTAATGTGGTGATCACCAGGTGAACACACACACACACACACACTGTAGACTAATGGGATTTCTTTGTTGATACAGTGGTTTTAAACGTGTGTTCTTCATTGGCTCAAAGGCTTTTTTTTTTTTTTCTCCTTCTCATGTCCACGAGTGACCGTGAACTGTGAGACGAACCGAATTAAATTCTCCTCATATTATATATTTCCATCCCATAATTCCATTCATCTACGTCATTCTAAAAAAGTCTCGGTAATAGACCGTATAAATTAAAAAGTAAGGACTCCCTTTGACGTGCGCCACACTTCCTCTTAGTTGATTATGAGAATGTGAGGACGGACCTTTTTCTGAACTTCTGTTCTCGTTCGTGCTGCGCTTTGTTGCGTCGAGGCCTTTGAAAAATCACTGTTCTAATTTGAACTTCTCTTACGTTTTTTTTTCTCAAGGAGAGAAAAAAAAATGTGTAAAGACGCTTCACGTCTTTGTCTCCAAACGCTTTGAACAGTTTTATCTTTACATCTTACACTAATGTTACTTTTTATTTGATCCGGGGTTTTTTTTTCTAAAACTCACATGAATGATTTTGCAGATGTCACTCTTTTTTAAACCAAATCCCAACCTGTTAAAATCTGGTCAATCTCTTGACTAATCCAGTCTAATCTTGGTGGTTTGTTGGTTTCCATCTGTGTCCCTGAAGGAGCAGTACGTGTTCATCCACAACGCTCTGATGGAGGCCATCCTGAGCAGAGAGACGGAGGTTCCAGGCTCTCAGCTGCACAGTTACGTCAACAACATCCTCACACACAACTCAACGGGACACTCAAGACTGGAGAAACAGTTCAGGGTAAGAAAAACCTCCACGACGTCACGGATCTGATGGATGTTCACCGTCTGCCGTGATGTCGACTTCACACCAACTGATCTCTGATCAGTTTTATCTTTCTGTCCAACGACTCTGCTCCTAAATACCAAACCCTAAAAAACTGACACACGTGAAGCGTCCGCTCGTTTCAAAAACTGACACACGTGAAGCGTCCGCTTGTTTCAACACCACCAAAGAGAGAGAGAAAAAAAATTATTTGTTCCTCAGAACGCCAGACTCTCCAGAACTGTGCAGATTGATTCTGATATGAAAGGTTCCGTCCTAGTCTGGTGGGAACGACGGTTCTACCTCTTTGTTGAATGTTTGACAATTATTTTCAAGTCCACCATCTGGACTTTATTCCCATTGTGTTCTCCTGACGTCCTGTGGTCTTTTCTCTCTCTCTCTCCCTCTCTCTCTCTCCAGCTTCTGACTCAGTGCAACGCTCGCTTCGTGGAGTGTTTCAGTGCCCACAAAGACTGCAACAAGGAGAAGAACCGCAACTCCTCCGTGGTTCCCTGTGAGTCTCTCCTCTCTCCCACCACACTGTGGGTTTCAGGTCATATTTAACACCTGACACTTTTTGACACTGAAGTCACAAGAACAGGATTTAAAGAAAACACACACACACAGGTGTGGTTTGTACGTTATTTAAGACAAAAGTTCTCGTTCTAAAATTAGAATCCGTTTCCGTAATCCTATAAGTTAATCTTTCCATGCTTTTACTGCCTGACGGTGGAAACGGGGATGGTTGTTGCTATAGCAACAGGGACGACTGGTAATGAAGGTGTGCGTTATCAGGCAGGGCAGTTATATAGAGCTGGGTTTTTTTTTTTTTGATTAAAAGTGTGTATTTCCATCTACCTCCTCCTTTGCAGCGGAGCGAGCGAGGGTCGGACTCACCACTCTGCCTGGAATGAAGGGAACAGATTACATTAATGCCTCCTACATAATGGTACGGTGCCTGGCCTAGTTATCCTGCGCTTACACCGGGAACGCACCGCCGGCTCTGACAGTTCTTTATGAAAAAATTTGGTGGAAAAAAAAAAAAGTCTGTCAGCTGTCGACGTTCGCTGTCATCCATAAATACAGGAAGGAGTCAGATTTTCAGAAAGGTTAACGGCCCCCTTCTGTCCCCTCAGGGTTACTACAGGAGTAATGAGTTTATCATTACCCAGCATCCCCTGCCCCACACCACCACAGACTTCTGGAGGATGATTTGGGACCATAACGCTCAAATAATCGTCATGCTGCCTGACAACCAAGGCCTGGTACGTGAAAAAAAAAAAAATTATTGGTTTTAGACGGTGTTGTGATTTTGTGTTTATTTTGACAGTTGACAAAATAAAAGGTTTAAAAGAAACAAATATTATTCTTATTTCTGTCACACCAGTAACTCTGACACACAGACTCCAGGCCTCTAGGTGGCAGTAATGTACATGAGGTTTGTTTGATCTAATATGTTGATGTAGAAGAAAGTTTCATAATGAAGGAGATAAAAAAACACAGAAAAAAAAATATTTAAATTAAATCAAAACAGTTAATTTTGTAAAACATGGCCACCTGATGTTATAACTACAAAGCCTGTAATAACCATGTCCGACCACTAGGGTTATAGGGTCATATTTTTTCTTCAAATGCAGAGGTGAATGTTGAGGGTTTGACGCCGTGTCGTGTCTGTGTCCAGGCTGAGGATGAGTTTGTTTACTGGCCCAGTCGTGAGGAGGCCATGAACTGCATCTCCTTCACCGTCACCCTCATCAGTAAAGACCGACTGTGCCTCTCCAACGAGGAGCAGATCATCATTCATGACTTCATCCTAGAGGCCACACAGGTAACTGCAGCCACGGAAACAGTCGCTCATTACTCTGTCATCTGTTCATTATATTTAATCATAATTTGTGTGTGTGTGTGTGTGTCAGGATGACTACGTTTTAGAAGTGAGACATTTCCAGTGCCCCAAGTGGCCGAACCCGGACACTCCCCTCAGCAGCACCTTCGAGCTCATTAACGTCATCAAGGAGGAGGCCATCACCCGAGACGGCCCCACCATCGTCCACGATGAGTACGTTCATCTCCACCTCGCTCCTCACTCCGTTCTTAACTCCAGATTTACATAATCCCACATTTTAAAAATTCCGAGACTTAAAGGGTTCGAGTCGAGCTGATAAGAGTCTGATCTTAATATGTGAGCGTTTGTTTTAAAGAAGACGCCACCGAGCAGGAAGTGTTTGAGTTTATTTAAATATGAACCGTAGAAACGACTCGGCTTCAAATGAAGATAAAAATCAAACGGACGACGGTGAGAGTTGGCTCATCGGTTTAAAAAAAAAAAAAAAAAAAAGATACAATATTTCCCATTGGCTTATCTGACATTAATCATATTTGAGAGTCAACTCTTCCTCCTACAGTTTCAGCTTAATCCACCCAAGGGTTGGGGGTGGGGGGGTCAGCGGGGGGGCTGGTCGTGGTCCACGGTAAAGACTATAAACCCACGACTGTGTAGGAATTATTATTCGAACGGAAAGTCTTTTAAATAACGTCTGACCTTTACACAGGGTAATATGGAGCCCCCCGGTGGCCCAGAATATATTTATAAAAATATCCTCTTCATACTGAGTGAACAGGATATTATCTTGAGCAAACAAGAATCACACGGTCCTTCAGACGCCTCCTCTCACACACACACACACACATGCATTAGTACCCTGTGTACTTAAGATTTAAAAAAAAAAAACACACTCTCCCAGGTTCCCGTTCAGGGACCGTGTGGGCCACAGTCGTGGGTCACAGATGAAGACCGTCTGGGCCGCAGTAAATGCCACAAGTTCAGGAGGTAAAATCCTGTACAAATGGGTTAATGTTGCCCCCGGGGGTAAAAGGACAGAGTCCATAAAACTGATGACGGGATCGTGTTCTCTGGGAATGAGGCGGGAAATGAACCCACGCTGGTTGTCAGGTGGACACAGAACTCCTGTTGATTTGATTGGCCGACACTGTAGGACGTGGGTTCAACGTCTGGAGGAAGAAAAGGTCAGAAAATGGATAAAAATGTCAACTTTTTTTTGAGTGAAAAGTTGAATCAATTTCAGAGTCTACTTTGATCTGACCAGGTTGGTTTGATGAACCTGAACCGTCACGTAAATATTCAACTTAACATCAGAGTATGAGTCACACCAGTGCCCCCTAGTGGCTGTCAGTGTAAAAATAACACTCGTGAAATTATATATTTTTATATATATAAGTCTCAAACCCAGACAAAGGATGAAGAAAGTGCGACTTTTTTTTTACTGAAGAATCAAAGAAGGTTCTAATATTCCAAGGACTGATAGTTGTGTTTTTTTTTTATCTGCGGGGACAGAAGTATATTCTAGTACACATACTTATGTACTGGATCAGTACTTGAAGTACCAGCGTAGTAAATCTGCTACTGCAGTTCTGGATCTGTCAACTCTTTGGCGTCCGTCGGCTCCTGCTGTAAACAATTACACCGTGTTTGTTTGTCAGGAGCATGACAGTCTGAGTGACTGTCAGTCTGAGTGACTGACACGGCCGCAGGTCCTACAGCTCATACTTAGTCAAAACGTCGTCGTGCAGAGCTCATACTTAGTCAAAACGTCGTCGTCGTGCGTCCTCCGCCTCTGGTTTCCTCTAACTTTATTCTTCGCCTTTTATTTTATTTATTTTTTAACCATTTCTGACAAGAAGATAAATGTTTGTTTTACTGTGAACTGTGAATATTTTTACTACTATCTTTCTTACTAAAGCTACTTTTCCTACTTCAAGTACTACTACTTTGCCTACTAAGGTACTTTGGGTACTTTTGCTTCTATATTTCTGCTGCACTTCCAGTTTACTACTACTATGACCATAGTACTAGTACTGGTACTAGTACTAGTACTAGTACTCGTAATTTAGTACTAGTACTCCTAATTTAGATACTTAAGCTACTTTAGCTTCTGTATCATTTGCTTCTGGCGCCCTCTAGCTTCAGCGTTCACAACAGCAGTAAACACTGCAGTAAAACTCCGAGTACCGGTGCAGTAACGTGTATATTTCCTGTGTGACACTGTGACAGTAAAGATGAGGGTTGTGGTCTCTCGCAGGTACGGAGCGGTGTCGGCGGGGACGTTCTGCGCCCTCACCACGCTCTCTCAGCAGCTGGAGAACGAGGGCGTGGTGGACATCTACCAGGTGGCCAAGATGATCAATCTGATGAGGCCGGGAGTCTTCACTGATGCAGTGAGTCCAGGTTTTTATCTTCAACATCAGAACGTGGCACTGAAATAGAAATGATGTCACCACTGTTGAAAATAGATACAGGAGCCGCCAACCCCCTAGTGGTGAGCGGGGTTTTTATTAGCTCTGTGCTGCTAGAAAATGAATAACAACTCACAGCTTCTTTTCTTTTTTTTCAGATTGTGAAAATTACTGTATTTAAACAGTTAAAGTTTGTTCCTGTTGTTTTTAGAGGTGTTGTGTTTGTTGAAAACTGAAGACGACTCCAGAGGATTTTCTTTTTCTCTGTTCTGTCAGAGTCGACATCCAGTGTTGACTCTGACAGATAATTAAGCTAATTTTGATTTTTAATCTTTTGACTTAAAGTGTAACTCACTCCTGTTCCAAATTAAGTCAATACAATTTTTTTTTGCTTTAAATTATATATTATAGTCACCAAATATCCAAATTTGCAGTAATGTGTGATAAATTCAGATTTTAAAAAGTACTGACTTTGTTTTATCAGTGACTCTGCTGCTATGATTGGCTCTCAGCTGAAATGTCCCGCCTTCTCGACGTTAAACGTAGCTCTGATTGGCTCTCACCTCCTGTTCACATGAAGTCAGCACTGATTGGACTCGGTCATTGCCTTAGTTTTTTTTTTCCTCTCATTTTATTTGATGACTTTTGCGTTAATGTCTCATTATCGTCATCTTTACTGCCACCTAGTGTCCGACCTTATTTTTCAAACATTATATTTCCACTTTATGAACGCTGTCCCTGTCTGTGTATGTCTGTGTGTGTGTGTGTGTGTGTGCAGGAACAGTACCAGTACCTTTACAAAGCCATGCTGAGCCTGGTCAGTAACAGCGACTGCGGACTGAGCCCGATGCACATGGACACTAACGGAGCTGTCGTGATCGCGGACGAGTCGGACCCTGCGGAGAGCATGGAGTCGCTCGTCTGAGGACACTTTGACGCGGGCACTTAATTTGTAAAAAAAACAAACAAACAAACAAACCCTGAGGACTTTTCTGAGGCCTTTTTTGCCAGACTATTGATTAAATGAATAACCTTATTATTTTTTATACTGATAAAGGTTTTTTGATATTTATGTTTATGTCCTTTATTTCTTGTCTTAAACGTTATCCTGCTGAGCGTTTGCACCTGTTCAAGTTTAGCGTGAGGAAAAAAGGAAAGAAAAAAAGAAAAAAAAAAAAAGCAGCAGCTCTCTCTCCAGTTTGCACTATACTATCAGTGTTACTGCCTAAATCCAGTGAGTTCAGTTCTGGCTACACGACAACAACAACAAACAACAAAACAAACCCGGGATCTTTTTGGACCACAGTCGGACAAACCTGAAGCCTGAAGACCAGGACGTGTGACGGCAGTCGACTCTTCTTCTCAAAAATGTTCTAAAAAAAAAAACTAATGGTGGTATCACAGCTTATCCCAGAATGCATTGTCACTTTGTCACTTGGATCAGACTCACTGCTCGAGGCTCCACTCCACCTGCTCCAGGCTCTGTGTCCCAGGTGAACGGACCCGACAGGCCTGACATTAATGAAACGTCCCCCCGTGTCTCACTGCTGTCTTATCTAATGTCTCTTTTTCTTTGTTGCCACATGTGATGTGAACATTTACTGATCTATAGAGGGACTAATAGTGTCATATTATTTTGTTTATATTGTTTATATACAGTATATATCTATATATATAGATATATACATATATCTATATATATATAGTTTTGGTTTTTTTTTGGTTTTTTTTGCCAATTTGTTGACTCAGTTTAAGCTTCCACAGTTGCAAAAAAAACAATGTACTGCATCATGTCACAGTGGCTGGGATTTGGAAGATTTTCTCATTGATTTAACTGCAAAAATAACGACATCAAAGATAAAAAAAATATATATATTTATATGTTTGTTTTAAAAAGACACTTTTTTCCCCTTAGAATAATTCATCGTCAACCTTTGCCAATGAAGGAGTTAAGGCCGACCTTTGACCTGCACATTGTGTCCCTTTTTTTAATGTAACATTGGTTCGTACGCATATTTATTTGTCTTTATAATAATTTTTTTTTTCTCCCTGAAAATTTTTCTTTTTAATTTAATATTTAATCATTTGTGTTTTGCTTTAAATCAGTGCTGAAAAAAAAAAATCAAATCCCAGTCACCGCCTCTGTGACGTTAAAGTAGAGTGTGCAGTAATTTTCTCCTGTTGTTTATAAATGAACAGCCTGGTTTCAGGCGCTGGTTCATTTGTACGACAGACGAAAAACTTTTACGAAAAAGTAACGATTTAACATAGAAATATAAATGTGACCAGATCTGCTCTCTCTCTCCTTGGAGTCTCTAATCACTATGTGACCAGATCTGCTCTCTCTCTCCTCGGACTCGTGCAGCAGTTCAGGTTCTGCAGCACAAAAACATCACAGCTTCTGAGGGCAATTCTGCATTATTTAAATTGCTTTACTGCCCCCTAGTGGAGATATTTCGTCAAACATTTCCACTTAGGTGCTTCCAAAACAAAATGAAACGTAGCAACAAAAAAAAAACAACCCAGAAAATTCTGTTGCATGTGCCCAACACATTACACCTCTAGTGGCCAAATTTAAAAATGACTAAAAGGAAGTTTTCTTTTGTTTTGTTTTGTTTTTTGTTTAGAAAATTCCTGCATACTTACGACTTTTCAAAGAAAATGTAAACCCTGCTAAGGTGGTTGGGCTACTTTTTTATCGCTAATGTTGTTTTTATTTTAGTGGCTTAATTGCTTTATTTGTGACCAAAGACGTGGTTCCACATTGAGGCATGTGAGTGGTTTTTATGCAGAACTCTGGGTCTGATTATTGGGATCTTAAATCGAAATTGTTGTATTTCCTGGTCTCCAGTGTCAAATGTGTGAATTTAACCAGAGTTTGGCTTCTTTTTTTTTTTTTTTTTTTTGTTTCTGTTCAAGCCTCAGGAACTCACTTTAGTACACGATGCTTCTCCTCACTCCTCACAGCAGACGCAAAGAAGTTTAGATTTAAAACTTTGCTTTTTTTTTTTTTAGTTTTGGCTGAATCCCTTGTCTGACGACGATTACCTGACGACGTGTTTTTAACATTTGTTGTTTAGCTGAGGATAACATCCACTTCTCTGTTCGAGGGGAGTTTACTAAATCCACTGAAAAGTCTCCAACATTTGGAGAAGAGTCCAGATCGCTGACCACTTGGCACAGCTTGATGAGTTTTTCCTTCGCAGCGACTGATTTTTTTTTAATGATTTTTTTCTTCCTTTCTTTCTTTCGTCAGTGCCGGCGTCCTCTGTTTGATGTTTCTGCGCTCATTTAAAATGTAAGTGCTTTGTTGCTTTGAAAAAGTAAATGACTGATTTAACCTAACTTTTGTGACCATAGACAAACATGTATTTTTACATACAATTATTGGATTTGATGAGTGGCCCTGTGACAGCTTGTGCTTTATTCTAATGTTCACTAAAATATCCAAAATGTCTGCGACTGCACCTGGGTGTCAGGTGTCGGAGCTGGTTTTGCTGCACACCCCCGGTCCAGGGAGTGGTATAAACTGACTTGTAACTTAAAAAAAAAAAAAAGATAACTATTATTTCAATGGAGTCAGTTATATAACAGTATTATAGCCTTATATCACTATGATACTGTTATATCATATTATTGTGTCATTGTGTTATTTAATAGTTAAACTGTGTTTCTATACAATAAATAAAGTATGAGTTTGGGAGCACAGCTTTTTTTTTTTTTAATGTTTCACTGGTGAATCACTTATTCATGACACACACACACGGGTGGCACGGTGGCGGTTGTGGTTAACGTTTTTGCCTTACAGCGGTGGTTCCCAGTCTGTTCCTGCAGCTCCTCCTCCTCCACGTCGACGGCGAGTACTTCTCTGAAATTGCAGGTAATTTGCCTTGCAGTACCTCCATGTGCCCATACGGGGTGCTGTGCCCTCACTTTGGAAATCACTGATCAAGGATTTCATGTTCTGGTGTGAATGTGAGTGTGAATGGATGTTTGATAGGTGAACTGTTTCCTGTGTCACCCAGCCCTCGCCCGATGATGACTGCCAGGATTGGTCCAGCCCCCCCCCGCCGGCCCCCCCAACTAACAAACATCAAGTAAGAGTTTTGTGTCTGTTTCTTTAATTCCTGCAGGCAGTGTTCAACTAAACAGGCCAAGTAAGAAAATTGTGAGTAAATTGAAACGAGATAATTTCACTCCATATTTTTTTTATTTGGTGTCAGATAATAGATTAGGTTTCGTATAAAGTAAAGTTCAACAAAATTCGCCACTACGTCGCACGCCACGTTTGATGCGAAGCGTATTTGACCTGTTGTCGACTTTTTGCTCTGACTCAGCCGTTTGACAAGTGTCAAAAAAGTTTTATGCGAAGCGTATTTGACCTGTTGTCGACCCTTTGCTCTGACTCAGCCGTTTTTAAATCAGCAGCAACAGAATCTGGTAATTTTTCATAATAAAACATTTTTGAGTGAAAGTCGTCTCAGGGGGGACATCTGGTGAAAAAACTGCAGTACTACTACGAGGGCAAACGTCATTTGTTGTCTTGCTTGAAGTGATTAAACTATAATTAACAACTCGCTAATGAACTGACGGTGATGTTTATGATAATAATAATTTAACGAGTGTCGCTCAGGTTGGCTGAGTGTTTTTGAAAATGTTGACAGAGACGCAGCGATTCTTCAAAATGTGATACTTTTTTTTTTTGTGCGATTTTCACATTTTGTCTCTTTGACTCCAGTGTTAGAACAAATTGAATGAATTTGACGATCTGATTGGCCGACACCGAACATGCGGGCTGTAAGCAGGACAGAGGATGCACATGTACAGTATTTTTTATTTGGAGGCCACAGCTCTTGCATATTACAACTGTTGGCGTTCATAAGGCAAAAAGCAAGAATGAATCCACCAGCTAATTCACACGAGAGAAAAAAACCAAGAAACAAAAAGCATTTTGGAAGGGTGAGAACCCACGGGGGCATGCAGCGATGGCTCAGAATGCAATGTACAGCATTTTTATATTTATATATATTTATATCATATATACAAAACAACATTGACACCCAAACAAATGCCAGACACCTCATTCTACACAGTCACAGAACAAAGACAGACCAACTTTTTTTATTTTTTTCCTTAATAAAAAAAAACTCTTTTTTTGTTCTTTTCTCTGTAAAAGTGCAACTCAATTAAAATAGAACCAGTTTCAAGGCTTTTTTTGTAATGTTGAAATAAAAATAGAATCTCCCAGGTTATCAAAATGGAGCTGTGAGAATATTGCATCTCTAGAATACCCACTTGTTCTAGTTCAGGGTTCCGGTGGAACCGTGTCTATTAAGTAACTGAGATGAGATCACGTAGCATCGACACATGGTAAAAACGCAGGTCTAGACTTACTGTCGATGTTGAAAACAGTGAGTAAGACGACAGTTTGTTTCTTTTTTTTTTGTTTTTTTTTTCTTCTTCTTCTTCTTTTCCGGTAACAGCCGTAAACAAATACAGAGGTTTATTTTCAGTTTCGAAGCAGTTGGCATTCACTTAAAAACGGACGAGACAAAGGAAAGGGTCCACACACACATTCTTCATCACGACAACGTACCATTAATGAATGTAGAATACGACAAAGAAGCTCCATATAGGTTTGCGTTGGACAGGGACACACCTAATAATCTCACTCAACAGTTTCAAACAAATGGTTCTCCATATTGCTTAGTAACACATAGGAATGGGCCTTAGAAATGAATGGAACAAAGATAGGTGCTATCTTTATCATGACGCAGCTACACTGCCGATCATGGTTACTTTTTTTTTTTTTTCAAACATTTTTATTCTTGATTTTCCTCAGTATAAGTACTATTTTTTTTTTTATAGGTAATAGTTCCTTCATTATCATTTCGAGCTGACAACGAGGTCCTAGAGTGGCTATCTGAGTTTGGTACATGCATCGGTAACCAGGCTAAAGTCAAAAGTTTTAAAGGGGGTTCAGGGTGGAGAGAGAGAGAGAGAGAGAGAGGTTCAAGGGGCCGGCGTGTGAGTCTAGTCGTCCTCCTCGTCCTCCTCGTCGCTGTCCTTCATGGAGATGCCCTGCATGCCTCCTTCCCTCACTGAAGCCGTGGCCTCCTCCAGGGTCAGCCTGTTGCGCACCGTGTCGTACATCTTACTGTTCAGGGTGGAGTCCAGGACGCCCTGCAGGCGGAAGTCCCTGTACTTCTTCTGCAGGAGGACACAGAGGCGTTAGAGGGGAGGGAGGGGGAGGTGGGGGAGGCAGGCGGCGGGGGCAGGGCGTCTACCTTTGTGATCCTGATGAGGATCTTGAGCTGGTAGACGTGGAGCTGCTGTTCCGTCCGTTCGGTGAGCCAGGTCCCCAGCAGGTTCATGGTGGCAGTGTACCATTGCTGAAACACATAAACACAACACTCTCCAGCAAAACACACACTCACACACATCCTCAAGATGTCGGGCTACAAAATATAAATATATATATGTGACATATATGACCCCCTCCGCCCCCCGCCCCAAGACTTTCACATCGTGACATTTCCAAAGTTCCACTCTGACCAGACTGTAGTAGATTTACGTCATGTCTACGATACTCACCTGAGGGAAGGTATTTCAACCTGACAGTAACCTGCTTTGACAGATAGGGGGAGCAGGTGTCCCGGTAGGACGGTGCAGAAGAATTTAGAGAATTTATTTTGGTGGCTCTGCAAATTCCGATTTTTTTTTTCCCCTCCAAATTTTCAAAGTCGGTACAAAGACGATCTGTGATGAAGTCTGTGCTGAGGAATCGTACCGTGGTTGTCTGTGGTCGGTGTTAAAAATGATTTGCCTCCTCCTCTGATTTAATTTAATTTTCACTTTGGTCCACCATTTAAAAAAAAATTGATTCCTGGTTACCGTAGCAACAGAGCAGCTACTTCCTGTTTTGGCTCAGTGTCTCAATAACCTGATTTTTCAGACCTAACGAAGGCCAACGTCACCGACCTCCAACATGGAGTTTAAATATTGATGATGTTAAACATGCTCTGAATTTAGTTAGTAAAAAAACGGACTGTCCGTCTGTGGTGGATTTTAACGTCAACATTTACTTTGTTGTATTTTTTTTTTTTAATTCAGGCTTGTCAGTGGATGTCGTACGTGAAGACAGCGCAGACTAGAGGACATGGGAAGAAGCTGCACTGCTGCACCCAAAATGACCACGTTCGTCTGCATGCATGAACTGAGCAGCGAAGCTGAGGCTTCAACCAACAGGTGGCGCTAAAGCACTGAAGATGAAGAGTGGAGCTCCAACCAAAGGCAAGTGGAGGTTTGTTTTTTTTGTTTGTTTTTTGTTCTTGTTTTCAGGTTTAAAAACCTGGAGCTTGGAAAATTCAGCTAACTGAAGCCTGGGCCACTAAGAAGTTAACTGTCCATTAGATGGCGCCATCTGGGTTATTTAGCTAAAACACACACACTGTTGTACTTGTGCTACATTCACCTGCGTCTGTTTAGACTTTGTAAACAGACTATTAACATTTCTATAGTTAGCTGGACCAGTGAGTCCCAACCTCTGTGCCGTGGCCCACTAGTGTACCGTGAGGGGTCATTAGGGGTCACTTAATTGGTTCCAAAACTGTTTATTTATTGCAAATATTTTTTCTTTGTTCATCAATGTGGGACAGGCAAAGCAATTAAATCCTCTTCCACTAGGTGGCAGCAAATGGTTAAAAAAAGATAATCAGAGCTGATAAAGATCTTTCTGTCTTTCTTCAATTCCTATCAGTGTTGTTTTCAACTAAACTGGATTACATTTTAGTAAATTTGAACTAAAATATTTTATTATTATATTTTGTTAAATATACTTTTTGTGAGATTGTTTTTGAGATGTGTTCCGGGGTTTTTTGTCCTGATGATATAAATGTGCCGTGGCTCAGAAAAGGTTGGGAAACTCTGAGCTAGATCATTATTCGTAGCTAAGGTTAGTACCTAGTTTAAGCTAATCGCTAAGTACGCACACAGAGACGTTCGTCCGTCCTGTGAACTTATGCGTCAAATTTCGCATGAAAGAATTTGTGTCTGGCTGCTGCAACGCATTAGAAGTAGCAGTACCATGTAAAATGTGTGGGGGCAGTCTTGCGCAGTAAAAAAAGAGAGAGAACTACAGAAGAACAACACAAATGTTGGAACCAGGAAGTAAAATCAAAACTGTCCACAAGGAGCAGACATCGTCCCCAAAATGAATGCTGAACTCAACACTGCCCACTAGTGGATGCAGAGGTTAAGAACCATGACTTTAAGGGGGACTAAGTTAGTGTGTTAAGATGATGAAGTTCAGTCTGATCTCTGTTTGATTTCTGTTTGTTGAAAAGAAGGTTTTATAAAAAATTTAAAAATGAAGATTTGATTTTACTTTTATGTCGGATTTGTTTAAATCATTCCTACACAGATTAATTAAGGGTTAATAATCAATTGAGGATGAATAGTTTTTTTCTCCTGTAACTTCTCTCTGCGTCGACTTTCGTCTCCCAGACTTCCTCAGTTCACAGTTACAAGAGAAGAAAACCCGAGTCCTGACGGGAGGCGTTTCCAGAACTCCAATAACAAACATACTTCAACTTCAATCCCGTGAGTAGGCCGGAGCGACGGGAGGTTAACGAGGCCTACGTTAACACAGAGACAGCTTTGTTTTGTGATTTTCATGGGTTTGTTTTTTTCTTTTTTTTTTTCTTTGGATCGTTCTAGTTCTGGGTCAAAGGTCTGGATTCAAGGCCTGGATTCAAGGCCTGGATATGCAGATGCCTGTCCACTTCACATTGGAGTTGAGCGTGCAGTGCATGCAGACCTCGCAAGTGGGTGGAAGGCAGAGTGCGTGCTAAGGAAGATTGCTCTATGTGGGAATGAGGCAGAGCTCAGAGGAGGAAGAGGAGGAGGAAGAGGAGGAGGAAGAGGAGGAGGGTCATGCTAGAAGATGTACACAGGAAGATTATTTGACTCTAAAATCATGCCAACCAACATAATGTGATAAAACAACGCAACACAACACTGGAGATAAGTGCCACTTTTTTTTTCTTCTTTTTTTTTTTGTCAGAGAGGGGAGGCAGGAGTGTTACTCAGAAAAAGGAGGAGATCAAAAGGGTTGAAATAAATGAGTAAAAGAGGAGAGAGTCAGTAGAGCCTGTGCAACACTGAGAAACGCTTCACACGTGCAGATGGACGGACGGACGGATGGATGGAAACGCATGCAGGTGTGAGGGAGGAACAGCGACAGTGTTGAGCTGCGACAGAGCGTTAAATACGCCACACGTTGTTGTGTTTCCAACGTGACACTGCTGAGGATGATGCACTCTGGGGAGCAACATGGAGAACATGGAGAGGACGGATATTTCCACACTGAAAAAAACAAAACAAAAAACAAAACAAAACAAACCAACCAGCACAGGAGTGGGCTGGACGTCCGTGGACAGAAACAGAAACGGAGCCACGACACCACATCACTCCCAAATGTCACCCACGATAAAAAACATTTCCCTCTGGTGCTTTACAGTCCACATGAAAAATGAAATTGTACACAGACGTGTGTGTGTGTGTGTGAGTGTGTATATGTGTGTGTCCCTGGGCACGTAATGTCACAGTGTCACCACCGAGACGCGCTCTAACACACAAAGCCATCGGACGCCTGTAGAGACGCAGGTCTGTACAAATGTGTCTGAGTGACATGAAGCACACACACACACACCAACACACACACACTAACACACACATATCACAACGTAATGTGTTGTTCAGATCACATATGGAGGACACATTAGTGTTAATGTATCCCATTAGGATTATGTTTTGCTAAGACAGTGCTCTCTTCACCCTCCGACTCTGTGGTTCCCGACCGTAATGGCCTGTAATTTACATCGGCTCATTTTTCACAGGGTTCAACGCTCGCTCTTCCCCATTTCACTGCTTAATATTCACTGCTTGATGCAGCTGCTGTGTTGGCGTCAAATAGAGGAGAGAAAAAAAAAAAAAAAAAAGTTAGTCTAACAGTTGGAAAGTTCTCAGTATTTAATGGAGCTGAGGCTGAGACACAGGCTAACGCTAATTTAAACTGCGTCATTTAAGCCGCAATAAATAAGTCAATATAATAATGATGAATGAAAATAAAAAGTAAAAATAAAATAAAATGGCACGCCATCATTTATTTTAAATTTCTGTATAAACTGACAAACAGACTTTAAATAAGTTAGTGCTCCTTTACTTGAAAATATATGGTTCGACTCTTCTATTGATGAAATGTCCTTAACACTAATGAACTTAACTTGATTAATTACAAATCCTCTAACGTTACATCACGACTAACTAACTACTAACTTTTTTTTTTCTTTTTTTTGGTGTAAATTCCTCCTGTGTCTTTCCTCATCTTGGCCACCAGGAGGGTTATTGACCGTTCAGGTTGGGAACCACGAGGGCATGTGACATGTGACATGTCAGCCTTTAAGTTTGACATCAGTGTC